TATATATATATAAACTACAACATGTATTTATTTATATATAATATATAAACTACTACATGTAAACACAATACACTCTTCAACAATAGTTCTTCGTGCTGTGGTATTTCGTCATTTGCAGAGGGGGATACAACATTGTTCGCATAGCCGACTTGTCTCGCGGCGAATTCCGTTCTTAGAACATACACGGCAAGCTCTTGTTGGAAATCGTTTACGCTCCGTTGGGGGAACTGGAATCAATGTGTGGTTAGAAAACCCCCCTGATAATCTACTGGTCGGTTCAGCCCCCCTGCGGGATATGTAGTTATTATCTGTACCAGGATCTACAATGAGGTTGACGGGGTCATCAGGGGTAAGACAAAGGTTAGGGGCAATACTCATTGCAAAATCAAAAAGTGGCATCTGGCTATTATCGTTAACTTTCCTGAATATTATATGTGAATTGAACATTGCAATGGCTAGCAAGTATACTACTAATTTCTTAGACCATTTGACAGTCTTACGTATTGACGGGTAATAATGAATCATTTGATCGAGTCTATCAACCCCACACATGTGTTGATTATATGTAAGAATGCATTGTGGTTTCAAAATTTTCTCACCTGTTCTTCTGTCCCTTTTTGCAGCTTCACCGAATGAATCGTCATGCATCGTACTTATCATCATCACTGGTCTCTTGTCCATTCACGTCATTACCATCACTGTCCCATTGTCCCTCGAAATAACCTCACCTTTTCTCAATTTTATTACTTTACCAATCTTATTGATTATGCTGGGTTCACGCCTGATAGGAAGATGCTGAGCAACTCCGAGTGAACATAAGTTCAGCCGGACTGTAAGTGGTTCATCGTGTTGTTCGGAGCGCACAGCATAGCAAGATCTGGATCATTGTTCCTTGCCTTGGAGGATCCTCCACTGTCTCGACTATACGCTCAACGAACCCATTGGATTAGGGTACTCGACTGCTAATCACATGTCAATGTTCCACTATTCAAGAACTGTTAATTCTGCAAGGAGAATGAGGACGCGTTGTCAAAACCGTCGGTGCCGAACTCGAGAGTATTTGTTCACAATCTTTACGACGGCTCAGAGTCTGCTCGCTTGGATTTGTCGTACAACTGGATACTTGAATAGTAGTCAGCCAAGGACAGTACGTTCGGCATTCCCAAAGTAAACAAGTCGTTCCCATGTCGCCACGAGGTGATCTCGTAGTTGCAGAGTTTCGCTGCTTGACTGGTTTGTGCGGCTGGTTCACACCGTGAAACAGTTCTATGTCACTGTTGATCTAATCTAGTATACACAATTAGCCCTGATTGGCATTTGTTATTCCCTGAGGCCACGTGAACGCTCCAAGAATACTGCAATGGTTTCGGGATCACCGAGCCTTTCCCCTCATAACCACACCATCCGAGAATACCCTGAAGGCCAATAGGGTTGAGCAGTGTTGGTACACTCCGCAGCTGGCAGCGGCCACAACAATGTCCCGCAGCGCTGAGGTTCGTCTCCTAGCTTCTGCAATTCCTGATACTTGACGTACTGTGTCTTTTAACAACCCGTAGAGAACTGCACAGAAGCTTGACTCACTCAATCGATGGTTGTTTCTGCTTTATTAGTTCTTGACAAAGCATCAGCCAGCAGCATTCGCGACGCGAGTGTATTTATGACAGTCAATACACAACTTTGGACGCAATAGCATGCGTTGAAGTCGTGTGGCTGACGTAGGTCGTTGAGAGATCATCTCCAATGCTTGTGCAGACGATGACGACAGAGCGACGCGTAGAGAAACGTGTGGAAACGTCCACGCAAAGAGGCCCCAAGAGGTCGCGCTCAATGTCACTAACGTGTCTGTGCCGATAAGACGGGAGGCGAACATATGGCGATTGTCCTGGTCAAAGCTCTCCACCTCGTAAGGCCAGCCACTTGCAGACATTCCTTTATCGGATCGATAGCAAGTGTAGTGCTCTTGCAGAAAGATCTGATCTTCTCGTATCCTGCAGATAATGACTGTCAATCAAAGGTCTGTCCTTCTTGAGGACTGGCTAACCGTTGGCGTATGGTTTGCCAACTTCGGTATGAATGGCGCACATATAGTAGCCAGTCCAAGGAATCCTGCAGGCTTTCTGTCGTCGCGAGCATGGCTTGATGTCGCATCTAGCTGGCTGGTCTGGTGTGCTCCTTGCTTGTCACCAAGTCAATCCGAAGATGGAGAATAGGAACAGCGATCTTACATTGCGCTGTAAACAAGACCATTTTGCGACTCTCATCAGTTGGTGTAGAACTATCAGCTGTCATAGCGTCGCATATACGGCCATATCGCTGATATTCCGAGACCCGTCACCAACTTGCCGAGTATGAAGTCCTTCCGCTGAACACATCCGACATGACTAGACCCGAATGGACATCCGAAAGCAGTATCGTCCAAACGGTGTGTGACGTCCGCAAACCTGTGATCCTCGTCGATTTGATCGACAGTACCATCTTGCATCCACTGAGAAGACTCGGCTCCATGAAAGCGATGTTTACTCTTTCATGGGTGTGTTGTGGGCATCTCAGGTGGCCGATTCAACCGTCTTTGACTAAGCATATCCATAGCTTCCATCCACTTTGCGCTGCAACTAAGACACCCAACTCGTTGGCTCTATGACCTTTCGATACGCCTTGTGCTCCATAGCATCTATCTGTGATTGAATCATCTCTAAGCTGTACGGATTTCCGAGTGCCATGACAACTGGAGGAAATATTCGATCCCCAAGGTATAGGACTCCACCAGGGATTTCCTATCTGTCAACCCTGCCTGGACTAGTGTGCCCCCGGATGAATGATAGTTGTTAGGAAAAAAAAATTCGCCCCCCGGGACGCCCGTCCTGTAGAAACGCAGTTTCAGTCATATTTTGCAGGCAACGCTCCCCTATGCCATTAAAATACAACAACAGGAACATAGGGAATCACTGAATCGCTACTGATCGTGGCAACAGTGACGACTGCACAAGGTTTTGCTGAAAAGCAGCATCGTACACATCGATGAAAATTGTGCATTAAACAGCGCACGAAAACTTAATAAAACGAAAATCCACCCTAATACTCAAGACCACGCCGCACCGCATGCCACTCACGATGTTATCGTGACTTGGCCTCTCGAATTCCCATTGGGATACAAATCACGTGCCTCAAACCCTCAAGACCCAGTGTTTCAGGCACATCCAACACACAAAAGCCAATGGCCTCTATGCTGGAACGCTAGAGCAGATACGACACGGCTGAAATGTCCGTTGATCGATCCCAATCGTTTTTTCATATGTGTCTGTTTCTGTATTTTTCTAATGTTATCCCATATTTACATGATATTACAACATTAATAAAACAACCAAAATATTTGGGTTATAGAAGTTAGGTTAGGGTTAGGATAACATGCCACATAAAAACAGATTGTGGTACGTGATTTGATCAACCAATGGATTTGAGCATGCAGGCCACAGCTGAATATTTCGCCATACAGCCAAGCATGCGATTTAACGTTGGCAGCAAGCAGATGCGTGACTATTTGTTCGAAGCACAGCGACGCACCACGTTAGCGTACGTACGCACGCACGCAGCGCACGCATGATCGCACACATCACGCATGCACGCCAAGTGAAGTTCACACCACGCACGCCACAGCGCATGACTACGCACGCTCGCACGGCACGCACGTTAACGTGCCACACGCACCACACACCATGCACTCACGTATACGTGCCACAGCACACGCGCGCACGCACTACGTACGTCACACACACCGGACGCAGCGCACGCACGTGACTGCAAGCACGCACGCACACACTCATGCCTCGCGCACACCATGGATTGGACATACAGGCAAACCCCGACCCGCGGTACAACATACACATAGCAGCTCACATTACTATTCAACCTTGAAGCCGTACGCTTCGTAGCCACAGGGCTACAGCGATCTGAAGCGGAAAGCCATGCTGCACCACTTGACCTAAGTTTAATTGGGACGACACCTGCAGGCACACGTGGGGGTCACAGACTGTGACCACGTGGTGGCCGCACGCTGTATATAAGTTCGCGGCGTCCAGCCAAGCCAACACAGAGCCAGCTTTGCTCCAGCAGGGAACAGCGTTCGCACTCTTCCACTGCCCTAGCTGCTGGCGGCTTGTCCGCCCTGCAGCTGACCAATTAGGGTGAGCGAGCTCGTCAGAACTACGCAACGATACACAGCCAGAACGATATCACGCCGCTTGCGCCGCGTTCTGAGCAAGAACACAGCGCGAGCCAGCTCGCCAAGTCAGAAGCTGCACCCTCTCACGCTGCAGCACGCACGCACGTGTAAGTCACACGCACGCATGCACACTGTACGGCACACGCACGCACAACAGCACCGCACGTGTGACGCAACTACATAAACAGGCTTCTATCAA